ATATTTCTTAACTTTTGCGAAAGTCTGAACTCTAAAACCGGTTAAACTACATTCCTGAATTTTTAAAACCATTTGTTTTACCTCCCTGGCCGGTTATAAACGGTTTTCAAAGACGAGTTTGTCTTTTTCTTTTTTATTTATTTTGGCTAATTTTTTGAAAAATCATAGTAAATCATAAAATGGAAATTTTAATTTTGTTGGACTTCAAATGAGTAGATCTACACAGTAAACATATAATACGGTATGCTTTAGTATAAATTTTTTGTTGTAGCTTTAGATCTATGCTTTTCAATAATTAATTCGTAGCTGTAGTTTCTATGGTCCAATTGTGATGAAATTTTTATGGTTGGCTAATTATTATATGCTTGAGCAGCAGTAAGAATTTCATACTGTAGATCTACTCACGAGAAGTCCAACAAAATTGAATTTCTATTTTATGATTTTTCTATGATTTACTATGATTTTTCAACCAAAATAAATAAAAAAAAAGAAAAAGACAAAATCACCTTTGAAAACCGCTTATAACCAATCAGGGAGGTAAAACAAACGATTTTAAAAATTTAGGGAAATGATTTATCCGGTTTTAGAGTTCAGGAAAAAAATCAGACTTTTGCAAAAATTGAAGAAGGTAACGTCGACTTTTTCCAAAGGAAAACACCGTGCGGGCCGCGTGCGCCAACCTGCGGCAAGCGCAAACAACCGTGCTGAGCCTTCCTTGGACGACGCTGACATGCGCGACTGCGTGAGTCGTCCGTCCGTCCGTCCAGAATTATAAGTACGGACAGCGCGCGGCGCCTGGCGAGATAACCTCCCCGGCTGCGGCTCTGCCTACGCGTGTTTTTCCTTTATCATATCGCACAAGTGGCCTCCAGCTAGCTTAGCTGATATCTGGGCAGGGTGCTTTCTGGGGCGGGGGGGCGATACTGCTGGTCAGGCGTCCTGTGATCTTAGCCTGTTCATCATAAATTTTCAATCGAAAACAGTGTTTTTCTTTCACACCAAATCAGCCAGCAGTAAATAATCTACGATACGATACGATACGGCCTCCCGAACAGAGCTCGGGCAGGTGAGAGTGAGATCTCAAGGCCGTGCTCCTGATTTCAGCCACCGGAATATTAGGTTGCCAAGGAGCTGAGCCTCTGCGCGCTTGTTTTCTTATTAGTCCAGGTATGATCACTCCTATTCTTGCAGAGCGCTATGATAAAATACTGCACGTATGTTGCAATAAAACATATACTAGCTTGTTGTCAGGTTATGGACGATCTATGACTCAGATTAATCTCACGATCGTGTCATCCATTTCAATACGTCTTGAAACCATAGTTTGTACAATCATTGAGCTTTGCCGTTTTACCTCGTATGAGCATGAGTGGAGAGTGATGAATCTGGATCACACATATGGGACAATAGTGATGTGAGGATTGTGGAAAGTAAAAAAAAAAAAATGTTGAAAATACCCTTTTTGATTTCTATATTAGATATATGGAATGTTTATGATTATTAAAAAGGTGAAGCATTTTGAGCTTTGAGTATCTATTACTCGAAATATATTTGTATATGTTTTACATGTACACAGAAGCGTGAATAGATTCCTATTTCACGTCCACTATTTACATAGACATTGTTTCTATATTATTTCCTCTAGATCCATAATTCAATTTGAAGAGCAACACTATCTCCAAAACATAACTCTCACAACTATTTTTTTTCTTATAACATAATATGTACTCCCTCTGTTTCAAATATAGGACCTATTAGGATTTAGAAAAGTAAAACTTCATAAACTTTTGCCAATAATTACTCAAAGTATTTGTTTACTTAGTACATAAAAGTTTTATAATTACATTTACATTTCATGTATCTTCTAGACTGATTTTGAAGCAATTAACGGTGTATCATTGTACGAGTAATTATATTGGTAGTCAACTTCTAATAAAGACTTATTCAAATCCCAATGCACTTTATAAAATAAACAGAAGGAGTGTAAAAAAATCAGAACATATATAATCTATACATCTTGTCTTAGTGCCATCAAACTAAACATGTTTTGAAAAAATAGTTAATGGTCAAGCTTTTAAAGGAAAAAGTCTATTTTAGGCCCTCCAATTATGGCTGCGGTTTGTTTCTAGCCCTCTAACTCGAAAACCAGACACGCGCAGTCCCTTAACTCTCAAAACCGTTTAAAATTGGCCCTCGCGCCCATTCGACTGCAGTTTTCGCGACGATAAAACCCATAGCGACCCGCTTTGTCAGGCCTTTCCTCTCACCGCCAGAGTTGGAACCACCTGTCATCCCTCTCCCTTTCTTGGCGCCCCCTTTGTCAGTCGCCCTTTCCAACCTCCCGCCACTAAACCACCACGGTGGCCAAAGACAATAGCGCTAGCCATGGCAAGCTGCTACTCGCGCCATAGCTGCACTCTCTCTCGCTGCTGCTTTCATGGCTCATTTCTGCTTTTCCGCCGCGGCCTCAGCCTCTGCTAAATCGCTGCTGCCGCTGCTGCTGCCATGCGGTGCCTGCTCTGCCGCCGCTTTCAAACGTCTGGGCTAGAACTTAATGGAAGGCGCAGCAACCCCACCGCTAGACACCTTAAGTCAGCGTGCTCGCCCATAGGCGTTCTTCCTCGCGCTACTACGCCGGCGGGCGTTCTTCCTCGCTCTGCAGAGGCGGTGTGAGGTATCGTCGAGGTGCCCGGCACCGGAGCTGGAGAGGGTCCCCGAGCTCGCCTCCTGTCTCCGCGAGGTGCTCGCATTCTTCTTCAGGCGGCCGCGACAGGACGATAATGGAGGGGGGGGAGGAGCAGCATGACCGCCGCGTCGCGCCCGTGTCCTCTCTCTCGCCCGCATTGCCTCGCCCTACTCAAAGCCATGGAGAAACCGAAAGGTGCGACACGAGGAGCTCCGCCCGAGCTCGTCGCGCCACCGCATTGCTGAAGCCAATCGGTAGCTCCGCCTTGCTTCGTGACACCATCTCCACACACTCGCAGCATAGATCGAGCCTAGGTGAGGGCCTATTGGCCACTTCCACCGCCGCCCGCCATGACCGGGGCTCGCCGGACTTCGAGCTTCCCGTGGCCGGCTATCACAGGAGCTCTCTCACTCCCTTCTCTTCCTTCCTTCCAGGTTCGCCATGCGCCGCCGCCCTAGTTAGAGCTCGGTAGGGGTTAAACCCTAGGCACCTTTAGGTGCGGCTCGTCACGAGGAGCACGCTGGTGCCCTCGGTTTCGCCGGATTCCTCGCCGACGGCGAGAAATCATCGGCCATCTCCCTCCCCTGCCTCTGTTTCGCTGCGCCCTCTTCCATCTGCCTCCGCCGCCTTCTCTGCTCCCTCTTCTTCCTCCTCCTCTCCTCTGCTCTGCTGCTCGCAGCCGAAAGAAGCAATGATAGGAGTGGCATGCGTGTGTCGGCGCCATGTGGCGCCAAGGCAGAAGCGGTGGCACCGTGGTGGCGCGCAAGGAAGCGGCGAGAAGCAGACGCTGGGCCCACGCGCGCGCGGCAGCGAAATGGCGGCGTGTAGCAGCAAAGAAGCATGGCTATGCTACTGTCTTGGCCGCCAGCCGTGGTGGCAACGACGTGTGGCGGGAGGTTTGGGAAAGGCCCGACAGCGGGGGCCGCAAAGAGAGGGGGGATGATGAGTGGTCCCAACTCAAGGTGAGAGGAAAGGCACGACAAAGCGGGGTCGTGGCGGGGTTCTTGTCTGAAAACACGAATGGGAGCGAGGGCCAATTTTAAACGGTTTTGATAGTTAAGGGACTGCGCGTGTCTGGTTTTCGAGTTAGAGGGCTAGAAACAAACTGCATCCATAGTTGGAGGGCCAAAAATGGACTTTTTCCGCTTTTAAAACCTAGACCTCACTCTCATCCAAATTGACAAGAACTAGAACTAAGGGATAATCGATGACAAACCACGTAACCAATAGTGTCACATACACTAGACATTTCAAACAAAAAAACCCAATACTCCACATTTTTATCATTGTTATCGATGAATATAATGAAAGAAAACATAAAGATAGGAAGGCTCGAGAGGACTCAGTTAATTAAAATCGGTGTACCCCAGCCCTCGCTGAAAGAAGTTTTCCCTTCCAACTGTCAAGGTTTTTTTTTCTGAACCAACATGTCCTTGTTAGAAATCTTGCGGTGGTGTATAAGAATTCCCAAATATCTAAAAATGAAGATATATTGTTTTACACTCCAAGAGTTAAAAAAATTCACTTTTATAAAAATTGATTTTGAGGGCCAATAGCTGTTCAAAAGCACATAGTACTAACTTCAAGTTTATGATGTCATAAATATCACTGTTAATTTTCACAAATTTAGTTAAAATTTAAAAGTTATCTTAGGGCAACTATAGAAGCTGATTTATTTAAGGAGGGGAGGACTATTAAAAATGCTTCTACTATCATACTATAATTAATTCACATAAAAATTGATGTGATAGTCTCATGCCTTAAATAACTGATGTGTGGAGGCTCTTTATTGGCCAAATATTAACAAGATGCTATAAAGATGAAACAGAGTGGCTACTCGTGTGTGCAGCCAGTGGAAAGCACTGTTCTTCTCGTGCTCAAATAGCCAAGAAGTCTAGACTCCGACGGCATACAACTCCGACGGAGAAAGAGAAACGAGATCCAGACCTGATAAGCTATTGGACAGGAAAAGTCAGAACGACCCAACCGAGAAGCTGTGTGCCATGCGTGGCACCGTCCGGGGGACCGACACCGAGACGGGCCGCCGATCGAGTTGTCACGCAACGCACACGGCACCACAAGCCGCCCACCTCAGTTGAAGCCCCGCGAAAAAGGTATCTAGCGAGACTGCGAGACCTAACAAAGAAGAAAGAACCACATCACACGGAGACGGGACGCACGATCGGCACCCCACCATCTCCCTCCTACACACCTTTCCCTCCACCGAGAGAGTGTGAGAGCTGCGGCCACTCTCCCTACTCGCTGGCAGCTCCGGCCTCCATTCCCTGCTCTTCTCCCTCCTCCTCCTCCAATAATGGGCTCAGCTTCGTCAGGTGAGCAACCAAGCAAACTCAACTGGTCGATCGTACGATCGGATCAGACCATTGTTACCATCTACCAGGTCCGTGATGATATGATTCGACGACATGCGCAGATGATCTCCGGGAGCACCTGCTGGACGTGGACGGCGTGGCCAACGGCGGGGAAGCGGCGCCCAAGATACGGGTGCGCGGGCTGCGGCGCTGCGCCGACGCGACCGGCGAGGAGATCCTCCGGGGCGTCCACCTCGACGTGCCGCGCGGGGTCGTCATGGGCGTCATCGGCCCCAGCGGCAGCGGCAAGTCCACGCTGCTCCGCGCGCTCAACCGCCTCTGGGAGCCCGCGCCCGGCGCCGTGCTCCTCGACGGCGCCGACATCTGCGCCATCGACGTCCTCACCCTGCGCCGCAAGGTCGGCATGCTCTTCCAGCTCCCCGCCATGTTCGACGGTACGTCCGACTCCGGCGGGCATCTATACATCGATAATAAAGCTGTTTTTTTTTTCTTGATGCGCCTGAAACTCGAAATCAGTCTATCTAATTGATTGATCGATGGCGCTAAGAACAGAAGGTTCTGTTCGGTGAATTATTTGCCTGAATAAAGCGAAAAAAATCACAATTTGTTATTTGCTTAGCGCGTATAAGTTGGCAGTGGGTAGACAGCTAGTGGCCAACTGTGATAAGCTATCCAGCTGACCTTCCATGATTGAATAGGTCATCAACAAGGTCCCAGGTGATAAGCACCGTTTCTCTACTCAGACAACAGGGCTGTGCATGATGATAAAGTATGTGCCATCACTCTGATGAGCACACCATGATTTTTCTTTTCACATATACAATGCAAATTGTGCTTGGCCTCTACATCCTGAGATGCAGAAATAACCATCCTGAGCACATCATTCACGTGATGGCGAACCTGGAAGGAAGGCAACTGCTAAGTCATAACCTTTAAACAAAACTAATCACAAAAAAAACCTTTAAACAAAACTTGAACACTTGATAAATTTAAGTTGGGATGCCATTCAGATTTTTTTTTTACTTTGATAGTACACAACTAATTTATAAAGCAACCGGTAGTTTTGACTGTGCACGGAATATTTTAGGATCGCTGAAGATCTGGTCTAGTGTATTGTATTGCCTGGATGTAAGGTAGCTTTGTCTCTTTCAAATATATAACCGTAAAATACTCTGTAGATTAAACAAGATTAGTGCTAGTAAACAATTGATTGTTTAAGAGCCAGCAAAAGCACTTAACTTAATGAAATCATCACAAACTTCAACTGACAAGCAAGAACTGCTCCAATTTAAATGGACTGTGTCTAGTCGTTTAATGGTTCATAAACACTTAATTTCGCTTGAGTAGCAGAGTTATAAGAGTTAGAAATTCATAATAAACTTAGGGCCCATATATCAATTCTGGTCTCTTCATATTCTAACACAATACTTATATAGACACTCTCTTATTTGTGTTTAGCTGTAATAAACTTCAGTTATCAATTATTCTATATACTTTCAATCTTTCATTATTTATAATTTTATCCTTTGGCTCACTTCCAAGTGTTCTTGACATATATTTACTTTGGCATATTTTTCTAATTAACGGATGCGAACAATTTGGATACACATAGAGAGTTATTTTAGGTTATTAGCAGAGGTGGCTAACTTAGATGTAAATGTTGCAACTTACTTTATTTCATTCCAAGTGTAACTGTTGAACTTTGTTGTATTTGTTACATGCTCTTTTAGTTAATAGAAACCATTAGATAATCATAAAAATCTAATATTGTTTGAGAGAGGCAACAATGGCCTGGCCCCGTATGTCTTTTGGTGGAACAAACATGTACGGAAGAAACATTCGTACTCTTAATATTATCAAAGATAATAGCATACATGGATACTTATGAAGATTAGAGAGTTACTTTAGGTTAGTTTTCATAATGGTAAAGGTGGGTAACTTGCATTTGGATTTAGGGGTTACTTCACAGTATTTTTCATAGTGGTATAAGTGGTTAGGTCATGTTTAGTTCATGCCTAATATTGCCACGCCACATTTAGTCATGTCATAATTTTGTAGGCAGCTATTTCGTCTAGCGCTATAATTATGGTGCATCATGCTTTTCTAGTACCCTCCTACGCCTCATAGAGTTATTTTCTTTTTTTTTTTAAAAAAATGGTACAATGTATCAACAACATGATAAAGCATATATTCATTTTCTTGTCAAACTTAACTACAAGTATGAATCAATTTATTTACCAAATTTTTGTGGCAACCACAATTTGTCTAAGATTAGTTAGGACAAGATTAGGCACAACCCCTAACTTTTTTTAGAGACATAATAGATTCAATAAATGTTATTGTTGATGTCGATATTAGAGTCCCCTAATCAATGGTCGAACGTTTTTTAATTTTTTTTTTTTCCACCGTGTCCCCTAAAATTTAACATAGAGAGCCAGAAGCTAAAACAAAGTCAGCTATCTAAGGGTTTATATGAATGCCTAAATAACCTCAATCAATATGTTGTTGGAGTGGAGTGGAAAGGAATTTAAACTAAAATTCCACCCGAATACACGTGAATTTAGAAGGACACTAGTATAGACTTCAACATCAATGCCTAGTGGGATACATGTGAATCAAACAATGCCTAAGCAGATTTATCTTATTTTTTTCCCCGCGTGCTTTTGGCAGGAACCGTGGCTGACAACGTACGATACGGGCCGCAGTTGCGCGGCAAGAAGCTCACTGAAGCCGAAGTGAAGAACCTGCTGAGCCTGGCGGATCTGGACCCTGCTCTGTGCTCCAAGCCGGCCTCCGAGCTGTCGGTCGGTCAGGCACAGCGCGTCGCCTTGGCCCGGACCCTCGCCAACGACCCCGAGGCATGTGCACCACCGTCACCTCTGATGCATGTTTCGTCTTCCTGGCATTGTCCTCCACCATGGCCGGCTTGCTGAGATCGATCGGTTGCTGCAGGTGCTCCTGCTGGATGAACCGACGAGTGCGCTGGACCCCATCTCGACGCAGAACATCGAGGAAGCCATCGTGCGGCTGAAGAAGACGAGGGGGCTCACCACGGTGATCGTCTCCCACAGCGTGAAGCAGATCCAGCGCATTGCTGACCTGGTGTGCCTCGTCGTCGCCGGCGAGATCGTGGAGGTGCTCGCGCCGTCCGAGCTATCCGACGCCAAGCACCCGATGGCCAGGCGTTTCTTGGAGCTCAGCAGCTAAATCCTCGTTGCAGCTTCGTTCAGATTTCAGCTCCTCGGATGCTTTCTAGCTGCTGTGCGGGATGGAAAGGATCGGACGTGGTTATCTTTCTAATCTCCTCTGTTCGTGTATACCATCTGTTAAAGTAGCTTCGACAGCTAGTGTATGTAAGGCTGTTGGCGGATTTGCTTTAATTTGTTTTTTCTTCTGGACCACCCACACAGCCGAGGCCCACACATACGAAATCAAAGCCCACCACTCCGCTGGATATACAGCCCATGAGTTCCAAATTATAAGTTGTTTTTGCTACATCTATTTTGCTATGTATCTAGATATAATAATATGTCTAGATTCATAGTAAAATGGATAAATTAAAAAAAGTCAAATCGACTTATAATTTGACACGGAGTGAGTATTTACTAATCTTCAAACTCTAGTGTTACTCGTCTTTGCTTTTTTGTTAAGAAGGTACATGGCAGTAATTCTCTATTCATCTGAAAATATAATTATTTCTAGATTTTTTACAAGTTAAAATATATCAACGTCTCAGGCACCTGGTTAGTATAATAAGGTTTAACAAAATACTAAATTTATGAAATAAGTATTCATATAGCGTACTTATTTAGTTTAGTGTCACAGATGCTAATGAAAAAGTCAAACTTGTAACTTTGAAAAAGCTTATAGACAAATGAACCATTGTGTACACCATCAAACTAGTTTCAGCAAATTGTTCATAATGCCTTGACAGCGCATTTATTTGAAAGTGTAAACGTTAGTACATTTTCTTGAGAACTTAGTTGGAAAACAGAGAATTTTGGTACAAAGCTGAACCGACCTATAGTTTGAAACAGAGCAAGTAATTATTAGGAACGCTAGCTAGTCAGCAAAGACCTCCTCTTTGAGCTGAAAGGTCTTGGTGAAGAAGGCTGGCCAGCAGAGGAAGGACGAGACGATGCTGCTGAAGGTGGAGGCGGCCATGAGCATGTTCTTGAGGACGATCTGCACCTGGATGGCCTCAAGCGGCGACGCGCCCGCCATGATGAGCCCTGTCATGGCGCCCGGCAGATTGATCACGCCCTGGGTCTTGGCGTTGTCGATGCCGGGGGACAAGGCGATCTCCTGCGACGTTCTTATCTGCTGGAGTGTCGCCTGACGCGGAGTAGCACCCAGAGCAAGTGCCGTCTCCACCTGTATATATAGAAAACAGCACACAAGAATGTATGTAATACGTATCTGCATTCTGCAATTGCAAGGTTACAATGATCATACAAAAGTTAGTATTTCTTTCGGGAGATGATGTCTTTGACGTGGTTCGGTTTCGGTCGATTAGCCTGGTCTGCCATTGGACAACGAGGACTGAGCACTTTTCAATGCCGCAACAATAGTGGATTTAGGTAATGGCAACAAGGCTTTATTCTGGACCTCCCGCTGGTTGCATGGAGAGGCACCTGCAACACTCTTTCCAGCCTTGTTCGAACATAGCAAAAGGAAGAATAGAACAGTACAGGAAGCTCTGACCGACAATAAATGGGTGAGGGACGTGGATCATAGCATGAGTGAGCGGATAATAGCAGAATTTGTGGCCTTATGGGGGCGTCTACAGGACATAGAGCTGCTGCCATCACAGGAAGACAAAATTATTTGGCTCCACACGTCTGATGGTCAGTACACGGCCAAGTCTGCATATGAATTGCAATTCATTGGAATGACTACATCTATGACGGCGGAGAACACTTGGAGAACGAAAGCGCCACCGAAATGCCGCTTCTTCACTTGGTTGATGCTCCAGAACAAAATCTGGACAGCTGCGCGTCTACAACTTAGGGGATGGCCAAACGAATACTTCTGTCCGCTGTGCATAAGGAACCCGGAGACGGTCTCACATCTGTTCCAAGAATATTGCTTTTCTAAAAGGGTAAAGTTCACTTTAGGACCTCCAACTATCACACATGTACTTCAAAACCGGATTTCATTGGCTCCAACTCTCGAAAAGTTCACTTTAGGATAACATTGGCCTCCAACTCGAAAAAATTTTGACTCTTTTTATTCGACCCAAATGGCAAATAATTATCAATTTTGATCGTCTTCAGGCGTTTTTGCAATGGTGTAATTATGTTTTGTTGTTTGAGATGATTTTATTTCATGAAAAAATAAATATTTCTACAAAACAAGTTAGAATAATGTAATACTTGTTAGATAAATAATATTTATTATTATGTAACACAAAATTGACCGAAATGCCGCTTTTAATTTTGATATCTTTTTTATTCGAGCTGGCTTCAAATATAGCAAATAATATATCAATTTTGATCGTCTCGACGAGCTCTTTGCAATGGTGTACTCCGTTTTGTTGTTTGAGATGATTTTATTTCATGAAAAAATAAATATTTCTACAAAACAAGTTAGAATAACAGAACTAAGTAGAATTTGTTAGATAAATAATATTTTATTATTATGTAACACGAAATGTTGTCTTTTAGGTTCATTTGACCATAGAATATATAAGTTTGACCATTTTTGAAATGCAATAATTCAAAACTTGTTTTGTAGAAATATTTCGCTTCATGTCCGCTTGGGTCCATAAATATTTCTGCAATAATTCAAAATATTTCAATAATGTCGTCTCGGTCTGCCACGACGAGCTTACGCTTGTGTCTGCCACCTGTCGGTCGGGCGCGAGCGAGGCGACAAGGCGCACCGCAACGCCGCTGCCACGACGACCTTCACGCGGGCACGCGCTCAACTTACCGATGCCGCACAAAGATTCTAGACCACGAGTAAGCCACTCACTATTGCTGCTACCAATTCAATCTAGCTATCCACTTTGCCACTTCATGCGGTCATACTCATGCCATGCCATGCCAGCCAAGTAAACATATGAATTGCAATTCATTCGGAATGACTACATCTATGACGGATAAATATAATACTACTAGAACAAAAACAGAAAAAAACACTTGGAGATGGAGAACGTTGAAGCGCCACCGAAAATGCCGCTTCTTCAACTCCCTGTTTTATATTCATGCTCCAAATATAAATATACAAAGAATCTGGACAGCTGCGCATGTAAAATTATCTACAACAAAACGGAGTACACCATTGGGGATGGCCAAAATGAATACTTCTGTCCGCTGTGCATAAGGAACCTGAAGACGGTCTCACATCTGTTCCAAGAATGTTGCTTTTCTAAAATGATTTGGGACAAGGTGGGCTCATGGATTGCGGCAATGGCTTTGAGGCCGGATAACTGGGGTCAGACTGATGACTTGGGCCAATGGTTCGTCGAGATGGGTAACAGCGGTCAGCAAACCAGGAGACATGGGGTACGATCAATGGTCATGCTAACCGTCTGAGAAATCTGGAAGGAGAGAAATAACCGCGTCTTCGATAAGATCAACAGAACACCTGAACAAGTCTTCAGTGAAGTTCAGGATGAGGCAAGAGTTTGGATACGCGCTGGAAACAAAGGCGTGGAAATGGTGCTACCATCGCCGGCGCAGCTACCAGGAGTTGCGCCGTTTGGACCAATAGTATAGATGTTTATCTTATTTTTAGCCGTTACAAGCATCGTGTAAATTGAGCTTTTGAACTGTATGGGTGGTGTGGCCTTCAATGAACTGTGAAGCCATGCAAATGGGCGCTCCTTGCGCCTTTTAGACATGTAATTGCTCTGCTCTTCTCTTATAAATGAAAGCCGGTAACGGATCTTTCGAGAAAAAAAAAAGATCTCAGTCGCGCTCTCTTTCTTCTATCTAACAGACTCCTGTCTGTCTCCCTCCATCTGCTTCTCTCCAAAGACTGCGAGCTGTGACTGCACGCTCGGGTCGTCTATCTACAACGGTAGCATAAAAAACGGTGCAAAGTCCAATTGTAAAAAATAAATAAAATATAAAGTGTTTTCATGTCCCACCACTCTAATATCGATGTGCGAGTTTAAGTGCTGAGGCATGGTGCGGCGGTCGGAGTCGGACCAAAACTCCCAGCCTTCAGCCGCCTCTAAACAAAGCTCCAGTGATCTCTCCGGTGACCTCACTGGATAGCTGGAGAGCTCTTGGTGACTGCGCTTGCTCTCTCTGGAATTTGCTGAAGTAACTCTCTGGTGGCATCACTTCCGTGCCCACCGACCAGCTCTAGAGTAAAAACACACTACACCAGCAACTTCTCTCAAATCTTTTTATAAGTGTGCTAACTCCAAATGTGTTCCATTGAATACCAACACCATTAAGAACTAAGTTGACATTTTTAAAATATTTTCACTTGCTTCCCCACCACATCACTAGGAGGCCTAATGCAAATGTAAAGTAAGTCATCACCTAGTGTGGCACTAGACAATGCTTTAGAATTCTTCTCTTAACAGTTAGCTATCTATCCTCGATTCGATCGTGCACTTTTAATGGTATTTGTAACAGTGAGTGGTCTACTAATGCTTATCGACCTTGCAAGTGCCTGAGATCCTGGACTGTTTCTTGGGGGATGCATGCTAACGCCAATCAGAGTTTCGTTTTTCTGATCCGGATGATTAATCTCGTTAGAATCCATTGCAGGTGTATGATTCGATGATGGTGCGTGCAGTACGGTGGTGGTCCGGCACCGGCTCCATCCATCTGAGCCATCTGGCTCGCGACTACGGCGCGACCTCGTGCGGAGCTGTACGGTCCACGTCCTCGTTTACGGCAGAGGCGACGACATGGGTGCATCCTTGCGTGGAGCGGTCAGGCCCTAGCTTGCATGGGCTCGCTGCCCGACATGCTCATCTAGCCAGCATGGCACATGTAAAGGGGAGGGGCCATGGTGTCGTGCCTAGACCAAGAGTAGCACGATGTGTCGGCATGACAGCATATATAGCACAACAAGATGAATAAGGCATATTGCCTCAACGACTAGTGGCTATTAGTACTAGTGTCGTGCGACTCATTTGGCTGTCTATACCTGTTTGATATATTAGAGCTAATTTTTATTAGATTATGCGAGCCAAATAGACCTTAAGTCTAAGACTATAGTGTGGCCATCATTCAGTTGCTTACAATGACTACACATTGCGCTGCTCTAATGTCATGAGCTAATTATAACTAGTATTGAGGTTCTATTTGGATCTATAGGGCTAACAACCACGGCCTCCGTCCTATAATATCGGGATCCGGACTTCAAAATTTATACCAAAATATAAGTATTCTGGTTCCCTCAACCTCCTCTCTCCTCTATCTTTTTTGGCAAAAATATTGTTATCTCGGTTAAGGTAGGTTGTCCGCCCATCTGGACGGACCTCGTATAAGTCGTCCGCTCGCTTTGTGCCTCACCCCGCCTGCTCGCTCAGCGCGTTGCGTGCCTCTGCTTGGGACGGACCCCTCCCTCTACCGTGCCGCCCCGTCCGCGCCCCCGCCGCTCGCCCGCGCCGTGTGCCCCCGCCCAAACTCACGCCTCCCGTCACGGCCGCACTCCATCCATCTGCCCCTGCCCCTGCCGAGGTCCATGTAGCTGACGAGATTCACACCGGCGACCTCCTCACCACTCTGTGGCATCGAGCTCCGCGTCGACGAGCCTCCATTCGTCCAAGCAGCAAACAGATGCTACGCGCTGAAAGCGCATGTTGCAATAGTATGTTTCAAGTGTTTCACATATTTCAGAGGTATGTTACAAGTGTTGTATATCGATGTTACAAAAGTAGATCGGGATGTTGCACATGTTGTAATGGCTATACACGTTTGTTTCAAGTGTATGTTCCAAATGTTTCATCAGTTCCAAACGAATTTTGCAAAAGTAGCTAGATCTGGATGTTACATATACATGCATGTTGCAGGCATATATTTCAAGTGTTTTCAGGTGTCTTATACGTATGTTTGCAAGTGTCTCATCTAAATGTTGCATATGTTTGCAATGGTTTTCAAATATTTTTTAGGCGTTTTCGTAAGTGTTTCAGACGCTTGTTTTAAGTGTTTCATTTGTTTTCTTCTGTATGTTTCAAAAGTAGATCGGGTGTTGCACATGGGATGTGCATGGCGGCCAGCGGCGCAGACGACGTTTAGGGCAGCGAGGGCGACGCCCGGGGCGGGTCGGCGGGCGGCGCCGGCCCACAGCTGGTGCGCTCCCTCGTGAGCCCGACACGCTAGCAGTTCCGCTCTATTAAACTTAGCATCACCCAAAGCGACCAGCATTAATGTTAAAATAAAAACTAACCTTCCTTGTGCAGGAACTTTCTCTTTCATAATGCCGAAAGAAAATTAAACCCAGTATATGCTGTTTCAACGTGTCCCGTGTCAAGCCTATACGCTGAATGCCTGCGAATAGCCTTGACCCAAAGCAATAACACTACAAAGAAAATCGTCACTGTACGTGTGTAATGTTGAAATAAGAAGAGTAGGGCAGTCTTAATGGGATGATTAGGACGATTTTCATAGCATAGCATTTAAGATACCAAGTAAGAAAAATAGTGATGTAGTATTGAAATTAAAGAGTTGAGATAAGGAAATCATTTCTTATGCAAGAAACTATATTTACACAGAAATTAATGATAGGAAAATGTATGATGAGTAGATGATAGAAGGTAGTAGAAGACACTGAACTGGCCGAAAAATATTTTATACTATTCATGTGAATATAATTTCTATGTTTATTAGTGTCTATATATGGCATGACAACCACGGTTTTTTAGTTCATAGTTTTTTTTGAATAAACCTTTTCATAGTCTTTTAGTTGGGAGTTGGGACTGGACTGGTACTTCTATTCCTACCAAAACGTACCCAATGGATACGACGGAACAATAATTAAGGGAAAGAAACAAGCAGCAAGTAGCGCCAAACGTTCGGAGCTGACCAGATTCTTACGAGTCTTGACGTCCTGCTGGAGCTGCGCTTCATGGCGACTATGGTGACAGTCATGGCGTTTCCGATTACCATGCCGGAGATGGGGATCATGTATTGCGGGGTGAACGGGAAGACTTTGAGCAGGAGGAGGAGTATCATGGTGGTCCCCGTGCCGACGAGGATGGACACGAAGGCGATGTACTTCCCGCGGGGGTATATATGGCCAATCGGGCCGCACGACACGGCACTAGCACGAGCACGGTCAGGCACGACACGGCTAGACACGGCACTATACGGCACGGTGACTTAACCGTGCCGTGCCTGATAGTGGCACCGTGCCGAGACCTCGGCCCAGGCACGGACCTATGGCCGGTTAGCCGTGCCGTCGAGCACGGCAGCCCGCGCGTGCCAGTGCTGGCCCAGGCATTGCAGCTCCACGTGAGGAGCGACCTCGCCGTCTCCGTCGTCGCTGCTGTTCCCACGGCCTCACGTCGCCGTCTGATAGGAGATCGCCATCACTGGGAGCGTCGGCGAGCGGGAGAGGGCCGAGGGAGCGAGAGAGAGAGAGAGAGAGAGAGAAAGGAAGTCCGCTATTCGGGAGCAGCAGCCGGCGTCCGGGGAGCGAGCGAGGGGGAGGCGGTGGCGGCCTGCCCCAGCGACCAGCCTCCATCGCGGCAAGAGAGAGGCGGCCGGCGTGCTGGGGAAGCGAGCAAGAGAGAGGAGCGGCTGGAGAGTGAGAGATAGCGGCGTGGGGGCTGCCTCCGCGAGCGAACGATAGCGGCGCAGGGAGGGATGGGAGTAGCGGTTGGCTGGCCGGCTGGAAGAAGTGTTTTATTCTAGGGTTTTCCAATCGAGTACATTCAACGGCTTGGAAGAATATCAAACATCCAACGGTTCATACGAATCGGGCCAGTATAGTGTCAGCCCATTATCCGTGCCGTGCCTGAGCTAGCACTACGGGTCGACATGGAGGCTCAGGCACGGCACTACGACCGGGCCGTGCTTGTTAGTGCCGTGCCTGGGCCGGCCCGTAGGGCCCGTGCCAGATGGCCAAATATACGCGGGGGACCTGCTTCGCGCGCTTGCCCGCCGTGTAGCTGGCCACCGTCACCTGCATGTGTGTGCCATGTTGTTCATTAATCATAACCATTGGCGGATCCTGGGGGGCTTCGCGCGCTTGCCCCCCCGCCGTATTTACTGGCCACCGTCTTCGACATTTGTTCTAAATCTCTATTGATTAGCCCCCCCCCCGAGGTGTTCATCTTGGCTCCGCTAATCATAACCAAACTGATGGATTAGTAGCTAATAAAGCTAGCCATCAGTTCATCTTATTAGGGGTGAAACTTTCCTGATCCATGGACGAAACCAAGAACACATCAACTACGTACGTACCATGAAGAGGTAGGTGAGGAGGATCGAAGGTGTGGCGTTCTTCTGGACGAAGATGAAGTGGAGGACGAAGCCGATGAGGAGGAGCTGGACGAAGGAGCGCGCGACGGCGTACAGCGTCTCGCCCTCGACGCCCAGGCGCTGCGTGGAGCTGAGCATGACGGCCAGGGCGACCACGGCGATGGACGCGGCCGGCTTGAGCATGCCCACCAGGAAGTCTCGCAAGAAGCCTGGCTCCCCCAGGTCCGGCTGCCGCGGCGGCGGCGCCAGCGTCTGCTCCAGCAACGCCGTGCTCCATCATATCTTCAGACTTCAGCTACCACAGCCAAGGACCTCCTCCACAGCAAATCAGCAATGCTTTATAGAAAGTGAAGATAGCTATCTGCTGCGTGTTATTAGACATGCATGAAATGTTTTATACAAGTATGGTTTCATGAATGTGACTGTTCATGGGTATCTTCGTTCCTATCGTTTTTTTTCCTTTTTCGAAAACCTACGTTTCTATCATTTTCGCGGCAATATTGTGCGGGGGTTGTCAGCCAGCACTAGCTACTTCATATTTTCACCACCGATGCATAAACCAAAGAAAAGATTGGGTGATGAACGTATGCTCCGCACTCTGCGATCCAAAAATAGGTCGCCACTTAAATCAATCACCACGCACCCATATATCTACCGCGGCGGCATAGATGACACTAGTGCAGATGGCCCAACTAACCGTGTCAGCTAGTGGCCATTGCTGGGGTTCGTGTGGGCCTAGGGAATATGCCGGCAGTTTACTACGTAGCTAGTAAGGCACATACGTTACGACATGCAAGTGAATGGGGCCGGTGCGTACTGCATCCTACTATATAGACAAAAATTCAAAATAATATGGGAGGCGTACTTGACTAATAATATGGAGCAATTGCATTGCAGCTGAGTGTGAGGAACCTCTTGATTTTTCTTTTTTTTCAAAGGAAGAGATAATTATATTAAAACTCAGCACAATATATCTCAAAGTTGCATACGAAAGAATCTGAAATAAAAAAGAAACAATATTCTATTCAAGTCCATTCACCATCTTCTTCATAAAGGTTTCCGTCGATGGAGCCGACGCTCTAGATGAACAAAATCCTGTTCAACACCAAAGTTAGAGCACAATCCTCATGTCAAATCCGCCGATCAGCCCTAAAATCTTAGATATGCCGCAAGATCCAATATTCTGAAACTAGACCAAAATGTATCTGAATCTATGAAGGAATATTAGCAATTGAATCGTCATGTATAGCACATGCAACAGATTCAACACTCGTAACCTTGACGCGTCAAGTTAAACATATGATTTCTTCTTTGCGGCCATCAACAATGAAGTCGACCTGGAGTTAATATCCCCACTAGGAGTGCCCATGAGCACCCTTACCATTGCTGATAGTAACCATGAACTGATCTCGTACGATGAAATCAACTCCCACAACAACGACCTCATCATGGCCATTGTCCAAGTCATCGCAGCTAATTAACAATAAACTCCTAGCCAATCATCATTGATGATTTCAGTCGTAGATTTATTTGGATTGAACCTAAGCAAATCAAATCTAAAGGACTTCTTAACTGTAAACAAGGGATGTGGTCCTCTTCTCCTTGCCACCGGCTGCCTCGCTGGAGAAGAAGAAGGAGATGCCTTAGGTGACTTGTACGAGGTGCCTAGTCGTGGTGGGTGCAAGCCCAAAAGGATGGCTACGGCTTTCTAACTTAGAAATTACTCTCTTGGGGGCCTCTTGACTTCCTAACCAGTAGCCGGTTTATGATCACAAAGCCTTTTCCTAGTGCACGGAGCTAAAGGTGTTAATGCTTTCTCATGGGTCAATAATGTTAATCTCTCATTTTGTGCTCGGAAGAAGATTAGGAAAGGAAAGGCAAAGCCTTCGGATGGATTTTGGTCCAGCCTACTAAGGCAATGCCCAACGTGGGCACATAAGATCAGTGGTCTCAACATCCACGTATACAATAATCGGTAATGCTCTATACCAAGCGTCGGTCCGACCGGACAGGACAGACCCACCTGCCCCCGTGCCTCACGCACCCTGCGCCTCGTGCCTCGCGCGCCCCACCCACACCTCGTGCCTCATGCCCCCACTCGCATCGCGCTGCTCTTGTCTCGCGTCGCCCGCGCCTCGCGCTGTGCTCCGCCGCACCCATGCCTTCGAGCCAGACTCGCGCTGCGCACAGCCGAGGTCCAACCTCCGCGCAGTGGCATCGAGCTCCGTGCCGGCATCAAGCTCCGCGTCAACGAGCGTCCATTGGGGGGAAGCAAGTAGATGAGCATATGTTGCAACCGTATGTTTTATGTGTTTTACATGTATGTTACATATGTTTCATCTAGATGTTGCAAAAGTAGATCTGGTGTAGCATATGTTGCAATGACTATACACATATGTTGCAAGTGTATGTGTCAAATGTTTCAGCTGTTTCAAACGTATGTTGCAAGTGTTTTATCTAGATGTTGCATACGTTGCATAGGCTAAACACGTATGTTGCAAGTGTATGTTTCAAATGTTTCAGCTGTTTCAAGTGTATGTTGCAAGTGGTTTATCTTGATGTTGCATATGTTGCAAGTGTATGCTGTAAATGTTTCGTCTGTTTCGGACGTATGGTGCAACAAATGCTTTATGTTGCAAGTGTTTCATGAGCAGGCGCGGCAAGGAGGCGCAGGCGAAGGTGATCCCCTTGGGGCGCAGTGGTCCCGGCGTGCGCGGGGGAAGTAAAGCGGGCGCAGCAGCAGGCGCGGAGCACAAAGTTGTATCCATGGGCGTGGCAGTAGGCGCGGAGGACAAGGTTGCATCCATGGGCGGACAACAGTCGCGGAGCACCAGGCGAAGCAGAGCACAAAGCTACATCCATGGGCAGGCAGCAGGCGTGGAGCGTGAGGCGAAGCAGAGCACGAAGCTGCATCCTCAGACGCCATGAGGGTATTATTATTGAAAATTATTGAAAACGGGCGGGTAGCAGGCGCGAGCGTCCGGACGGACACCACTTCCGTCCGCCCGGGTGCTAGTCTCTCCGTATAATAATGGGCTTAGTCAGTAAAGCCCCCGCCCAATGCATTAGCTTCAACTGTCCCCAACAACAGGTACGCAGAAGGCTTTAGGCATTCATTCAGTAGGGCCTTGTTTAGATTGCAAATTTTTACAATCTGGACACTGTAGCACGTTTCGTTTCTATTTGACAAACTTTGTCCGATCATGGACTAACTAGGCTCAAAAGATTCGTCTCGTGATTTACAACCAAACTGTGTAATTAGTTATTTTTTTTACCTACATTTAATGCTCCATGCATGCGTCTAAAAATTGATGTGATGGAAAGAGAGTGAAAAAACTTAGAATTTTGAGGCAATCTAAACAAGGCCTAATTCTTGAGGCCACAATGTGCAATCTGATGAGAGCTTCTGCTCTTTGTCAGACAAGGCGCCTGGTTCCTCTTCAGGCCATCCCCAACGCACCACGTGGCTGTTGGCTTCACAGAGCCAGCTAGGCTCGGACGCCAAGTGTTGTGGGATGGTGGTTTAGCAGTGTGTCGGTGTAGGCTGCAGAAGCAACTATGGCTTCATCAGAAAAAGTAACGACATGAGAAAAGAGAAGACAGTGCGTGAGAGAAAAAGATGGCTAATAGCCCTGCTTCATGCTACAGATGAAGCAGCACCCCATGTCTGCATGTGTTGGAATACTAGCTGTTCCAGTCATGCAAAGCCTACATAGCAGTAGCTGGTATTGGTCTGCGTTGGTGTTGCTCTCAAGACACCCTGCCACCCTGCGAAGTCATTGCTCCTGCTGATTTGGATGCTACACAAGGACGTGGAACATGAGACTCCCAGCCACACGTACTAGTGCGTTGGGGAAGGCCTACGAGGGCCTCGCTCGTATCCCATACATTATCTTCCTGCATTATATATGTGGTTCCTATGCTGCCACGTTTCCTAATTCTTTTCTTTCAATTTAGTTTGTAGTGTTTTGATTCGAAAGGATAACTTTACATGTTTACATACCAAGCTCTAAAGGTCCATTTGGTACAGTTTCAACTTCAGCCAAATTAGTTTTAGCTGTGACTTCTATGGTGGAGTAGCTTGCTCCGGTTTCTCTTGTTGGTAAAATGTTTGATAAAACATCATTTTCTAAGTCAAATTATTTTAAATTTAATCAAATCTATTAAAAAAACTCTACTATTTATGACACTAAACAAATATCAATAATAAGTACATTATAAAATAATCTTTACGAAATTAATATGAATACATACATGATACATGTAAATATATTTTTATAATATATATATATATATGTGATGTTATAAATAATTTAATTTTTTACTATTTAGAAGTTAATTTATTTTAGGACAGAGGCGGTAGATAACAGAAGACTCTCTCTGGTGCTAAGTTACGTATCACGCACCAGCAGGGCTGGGCAAAATATCCTTAGTCTTTCAGTAATCTAATCGAGCACACATAGAATAGAATCCTGATAAAGAGCACGAGAACTACTAGGGCCGCGCACCCATCGGGCGCAGGGCGCTACAAAGCAACTGCACGCCTGCTCATTTTATCTTCTTCTCGCTCTCTCGGTCTTTCTCCTCTGAAATCTCTCCACTCCAATGGCCTCTTCAGCTTCAGGTCAGCAACCACCCAAAACAAACCAGCATGTCGAGCTTATCATCTCCAGCGACGACCACGACGCAGGGACGGCGGCGGGTCGCTTGTTCGATGAAGAAGACGAGGCTAAGGAGCTCCTGCTGGACGTGGTGGACTGCCTCGCTGACGACGACGGCGTAGATGATGGGCCAGCGGCAGCGCTGCCCGGTACCGGCGGTAGGCCGCCGTCCAAGATACAGGTGTGGGGGCTGAGGAAGCGGGCGGCGTCGACCGGTGAGGAGATCCTGCGCGGCGTCCACCTAGACGTGCCGCACGGGGTCGTCATGGGCGTCATCGGGCCCAGCGGCAGCGGCAAGTCCACGCTGCTCCGCGCGCTCAACCGCCTCTGGGAACCCGCCCCCGGCGCCGTGTTCCTCGACGGCGCCGACGTGTGCGGCCTCGACGTCTTGCGCTCCGGCGCAAGGTCGGCATGCTTTTCCAGCAACCCGCCATGTTCGACGGTACGTACGGTGACTTCATTCTTTTTTCTCTGCCAAACTGCGGTCTTTTCTGCAACCAGGACGAAGTGCACGAACACGTGGACCGTACGATCGGGGACCCACGCTTATGATTAATTGTTCAAGAGCCCAACCGATGACTTTTAGGAGCCTCTTGTATGATTTTTTTTAAAGGAAAATGTTCAGCACACTCGATACCCATGCCGTTTGAAGCATGATGCCTGAGTTCATGCCTTCATTCATGCTTCCTCGCTCTAAGACTAAAATTTATGTCTGTTATAAAGTTTGTTCTAAATCAAAAAATTTAAACCTTGTCAAGTTATATTATTTTAAAAAAGAGTTACATATTATGAAAACATTTTTAATAAACTTAATAATGTGGATCTTGTGTTGTAAATCCACGTAAGTTTTCAGGTATAAATAGTCAAAGATGAAAAAACTAAATTGACTTGATTCTGATCGAAGAAAGTAACATCACCAAATTAAAAGTTAGCAAAATGAAAGTCTGTTGTGCGTCCGGCTTTATGGTTTGTACCACTCTGAGGATGATAAAATCAGGCTACCAGTCCAATTTTACAAGTACACAACTTACTTGTTTGTCATGTCATATGGGCTTTCGATACACATGATGAAAGAGAAATTAAGCGGTACAAATAAAATTTCTTGCTTCGAAGATGGCAATGGCGGACTCGGATCTCTAGGTTTGATACTAGGATCATTAGCTAAAGGACGGTTTTGACAGGGCAAAGCATGCTTACATAATTCAGGAGTGATGTGGCTTTGACGTACTATGTTACGTAGCTTTGATGGTAAGCTTGTATGGTTATTATTTAAGCCTCTCGATAACTCCCATAACGGATTTCTCTAAAGAGCAGAGCGGTGTAGAGAGGAGCAAACAACTACTCCCTCGGTTCTAATTAAATTATAAGTCATTTTGTTTTTTCTTTATAAATATACAACTATAATCGCTATGTATTTAAAAGAGATAAAATGACTTTACAATTTAAAATGGAGGAGTAAATATTAAAATCGTTGCAAACTGTGTGACAAGAAAGACTTGATGCCCATTTTGGACTTTATTTGGGTTTTACCGCCATTTGTCATAATGACTAGTATATTAAGCACTTTGTCAACTCGAGATTCCAATTTCCGGAGCAATTTGATAAAGACTTCACAAAGAAAACATACTCTTGCGCAATGGCACCATCTGCTAATGTCATTTGAACTGTTACTTTGCACAACTCAAACGACGACAAGCTTCCAACAGCTATGTGATGGTAACGAGTGCCATAGATTAACTTGTTCGGAGCAACAATAGAAAGGAGAATTCTTCATCATTTTTGTCTATTCACCTTCTTATAATAATAACAAAAAAAAGTGTGTATTCCACGATCTCTGATTTTTGCTATGTTTCTGCGTGTGCTATGCCAGGAACTAAGGCATACAACGTGCGCTACGGGCCACAGCTGCGCGGCAAGAAGCTCACCGAAGCCGAGGTGCAAAGCCTGCTGAGGCTTGCCGACCTGGACCCTGCCCTGTCCTCCAAGCCTGCCAACGAGCTGTCCGTCGGCCAGGCGCAGCGCGTCGCCTTGGCACGCACCCTCGCCAACGACCCTGAGGTGCGCACGCACTCACTCACACATCTCCATTTCGTCGTCGTCTTCCATGACGCCGCCTCACCAGTCACCACACCCTACGATCACCTCATGCAGGTGCTCCTGTTGGACGAGCCGACGAGCGCACTGGACCCTATATCAACGCAGAACATCGAGGACACCATCGTGAGGCTGAAGAACACGAGGGGGATCACCACGGTGATCGTCTCCCACAGCGTGAAGCAGATCCAGCGCATTGCGGACCTGGTGTGCCCTCGTCGCCGGTGAAGTCGTGGAGGTTCTCGCACCGTCAGAGCTGTCCAGGGCCAAGCATCCCATGGCCCGGCGCTTCTCGGAGCTAAGCTGAATATTGATTTTAGCAAGTGGAAGATGTACTCTCATCGTTCCAGATTATAAGACGTTTTAGCTTTTCTAGATATACATAAGAAAAATTATGTATCTACAAAAGCTAAAAACATTTTATAATTTAGAATGAAGGAAGTATATAATATCTTATTGTTGTGTGAGAAATATGTGTAATCATTTCAAACAAATAATACAGTACAAATTATTGGTGTGACATGTAAAATTAAACCTCACTCTATTCCGAATTGTAGTTTACTAGTCTTTCAACCCACGGCCAAGAATCTTAAAAAATATATGCAGCCCTCCATTCTTTTTAAGTATCACCTAAATTTTTGTGCTAACTAGATTTACAGAAGATAATAGTAATATTTGTATCTCCAATTAATATACTATAAAAAATATATTCAATAAATATAATAATATTTATTACGCACCATAAATATTAGTAGCTTTTGTATATATTTGGTCAAGTTGAATATGTTTGACTCCTCAACATGTGAGAATGACACTTAAAAAGGGACTGAGGGAGTAGGTGTTAGCGTTTAATACCTACAACTAATAATAATAATAATAAAATATCTACAACCCACGGCCTAGAACTAATTTTGCATGTTTTGTCTTAACCTAATAGGTATATACATCTATGTAATCTCTACCCATTTATCATTATGTTATCAATTATGGATCTCTATGTTTATCATTTGTATCCATAGTTTTTCCTTCGTACATAGTACCTTTCTGTATCTTCAACTCGTGCGATACCAATACTCAGACCTTTACAATATTGACTTTTGCTATTTATCTGTTAACAAAATTTTGGTACTAAATTTGTCAGATTTCTATACGTTTGATTGCACTTTAGGATTTGTGCTACAACTATCTATTGGGTCGCATTTATAAAAAATCTGACAGTTTGACCACATTATTGACATATAACTAGACACTTCCTACAATATATTATTATAGGCCCTGCTCATCAGCCCCACTTGTCAGCGGGTCCTATATCTGGAGGTTTAGGAGAGAAGAACGAGAGCCTCTCATCTATTAGGGACTAAATAGGAGCTCGGTTGGAGAGTTTTTCATGTGTTTCAACTCTTAAAATGGGATCAGGGCTCTAGTAAGGTCATGATCAGAGTTGCTCTAATCTCTTTATTTGAATTATTAGGCCTTCGCCTCGCTCGATCTGTAGTTCAGGCAAGGCAACATCCAAATGGTTGTCGTAGCTTTTCTTATCAATAATGATATCCTCAGGGCGTCCGCGCCACACGCCCATGCCTCACGCCGTGCGTCCACACCCGCTCCTCGCGCCTCCCGTTCTCCCGCCACGACCGTGATCCATCTGCCTGTCGACCGTGGGTGACCTCGAGCTCTGCGCCGCCATCGAGTTCCGCGTCAATGAGCCTCCATTGGAGGGCAGCAAGTAGATAAGCACATGTTCTAACCATACGCTTCACGCGTTTCAGATATACATTGCATATGTTTTATCCGGATGTTGCAAAAGTAGATCTGGTGTTGCATATGTTGCAACAGCAATACATGTATGTTGCAAAGTGTATGTTTAAAATGTTTTAACTGTTTGAAACGTATGTTGCAAGTGTTTTATCTGGATGTTGCATATGTTGCATTAGCTATACACATATGTTGCAAGTGTATGTTTCAAATGTTTCAGCTATTTGAAACATATGTTGCAAGTGTTTATCTGGATGTTGCATACTCCTTGCAGTGATCATACACATATGTTGCAAGTAAGGATGAAAACGGACGGCATGAATCCCGTTCCGTTCGTAACCGTATACCGTTTTTTCCTGTTCATTTTTGTTTTTTCTGGGATAAACGGAAACGGGACCGAAAACAGGACGGAGTGAAACGGGACCGGGACCGAAAATGGTAGAGCGTTTGTTCGTCCGTATTTGCGGTATCCCGTTTTCGACCGGGATATCCTGTTTTTATTAAGTCCGGGATAGGCCTGCTAAGAGCTCAGTCCATCCATAGAGCTGGCCCAACTTGGCCCAAGACACAACACCGCACCCTCATCACTAACGGCGACGCGGCCTCCCCCGCTCGCCGTCCTCTTTCTCTTCCTCCAATCCTCCGGTGCTAGACGCTGGCAGCCACGCCCTCGGACCGGGTGATGTCGCGGGCTGGAGGACGAGGAGATCGTGGTGGCTGGAGCAGGTGGTCACCTCGCTCGGCGTGGAGCACGCAAAGCACCGGTTTGATAATAAGAGATGCCTTCATTCATGCGTGCTCATTCATGCTTCCTCGCTCTAAGACTAAAATTTATACAAGATCATAAAGTTTGGCTGTCCTAAATTAACAAAATGACACACATACTTTCACTATATAAACCCGGTAGTCCGCATAGTGTCCCGAAAACACCTCGGTAAATCAACATCACAACCAAGATCTTGATTAAGCAAATACACATCACATACACAGGGTTGCAGCTAAAATAATATTACAAATGAGTTCACAATTAAAAGTACAAGTTTGGGTTTCAAAATCGATTAGTGAAAACAACATAGCTTTCAAAAGATTACATTAATATATGTTCCAAATACATTGCTAGCATAAGTGACATCATCCGTTTGTAAGCATATAGATGAGAAAACTATAGAATCACCGAGTCCAATTTTGATTAACCACCATCTTCACTTGAACTTCACTGCAACATATGGGATAAACCACATGATGAAAGAGAAATTTACTCAGGTACAAACTAACCCGACAAAAACGAAATAAAAGACACCAAGGATCATGCAAGGCTTTTCAAGTGGGCTAGCTTGACACATTTGCATAAAGGAGCTTATGAGTATAGTAACCAATTTAAACTTATTATCAGTGATTATCATTACTTACTATGTTACTAGATTAGCTTGTATGGTTATTAGAGCACTCACTTATTAGGAGCAAACAATAATAACCCTAGCAGTATAATAAAATTATCATCATCATATCATCATTTATAACCATTAAGTATTAAGTGTATCTACATTGGAGATAAGCCCGTCAAGTTCTCACTAACTGGAGAGAGTAAATACTAAATCGTTACAACTCAACTGAAGACAAGCATTCCTAATGCCTCACCTGGCATACTTTGCAAGGGTAGCCGTGGTCACCTTTGGAACATCTCGGAACCAAATTAAGCACTTCGATCAACTCAAGACTCTCCAATTTACCCTTCCGCAGGATTTGATCGGGACTTTTAAATCACCATACTTTGCGACTCACGCCTCGGCTCCTTCATTTGCGCACTTTATACTTTGCATCGACTCAAACGACGACAAGGTGAGCTAAAAGCTATGTGATGGGTCTTCAGTGCCATAAATTACTAAGAGAGAGCATCGTTCAACATGAGCAGAAAGGCTCCAAGATCCAGTCCTTAATCGACCTTCGGATCATAATAAACCGCAAAAGCCTCCGTTCGGTCTTCATTTCAAATTAAGACTGGTTTCTTTTCCACGATAGCAAATATAGCCAACCGTGCCATATATGTCTTCCTATATCTCGCGCGGCAAGATAGCTCACCGACTTCTACCGTGTTTAAGCCTGGGCTAAGGCTTGCCGACCTGTGAGCCCTGAGCTACATATGATTCCAAGGTATCAATATCTGGACAAGTTGGATAACCAATGCAGCAAGTGTTTGCATCCAACACCTAAACTTAATGCAACAATATATATGTAACAATAATCACTAACTGCATTTTGGAAATTAGGAGGCTTAATATGCTCCGGGCTTGCCGGATCCGACACAAGTCGATGTTAGGTAGACGACACTCCTAAGTGAGCATCTTCCGTCCTAGCACTTGTCCGAGCCTTCCGCCTTCGGGATAGGTCCACCATACACCGTCTTGAACATTCGGCTCCAACATCTCATCCTTCACGTGGTGCATCTAGCGTACCCACGGATGAGATGCAATATGCAAGTGCATAAATATGAAGAATAGCACCATGAGGCGCATCACAAAATAGCAAGCAAGACAAGCATAGTTTACACTAACACACTTAAGTACTTTCCAGGATGCTTAACTTAACATCACACAATCTATCATGCTAAGATAACAAAGAATATTATACATGGCACATAAGTCTTACAAGATTTTAGGTGTATTTAACTTAATTACTAAGGACGTGAACCACACCTAGCAACATGCAAAGCAAGTCAAGGTGAAGCAACAACTATAACCGGAATATGCCAATTTCTAGACTTGCAAACAGCGGCTTCATAAATCAATCATATCTGGAGTTTTATAAATCCAAATGATATGAAACAAGACATTCTGGAAAGCTTAGGAAATTATCTACATTTCATCTTTAATCATCTCAGCATGATTCTCAAGTTAAGTAGGTCGAAATTATACATTTACAGAAACTGGTCCCCAATTGACAGAGAGCAGCCATTTCTGAAACCCAACTTTAAACAGGCATAACTCACAAACTACTTGGTCAAATGATACCAAATTTTAACAGAATCTAGATACATGAATTATCTACAACTTTTGTATAAACAAGTTTCACAACAAAGCACATTATCATGAAGAACTTTGCTAAGTTCCCAGATCTGTCCATAAACCACATTTGCAAGAAATTAAATATTAACTTATGTTGAAAACACATAATTAGACAAAACCAACTTTACCAACATGTCACACATGACTAAAGAACACCAGAAAACCTAGTGTCCATGACCAAATAAATTCTTTTAATGCATTTCTTAATTTAATTTAGATAACTAGTCTTAATGAACATATACCAAAAATCTTACAATAAATTCTACAAAAATTACAGTGGCTCACATATCCTCTCAATAGTCTACTGTCCAAATTTCACTCTATTTGAATTTGTATAGCAACCTCTATGAAAAAGACAAGTCGCTAAAGCAAGAAATCATGTGAGAGCAAGATAAACCAATAACTCACTCATACTTCATCCAATACTCATGAAATTTTTACCACACATCAACTATCACATGATTAGCATGCCACAAAAAAATTTCACTTCATTTGGAGCCCTAGATCTACAGTTATGAAAAATACAAATACCACTAGCATTACAAACCTAGCTGCATAAATATATTTTTTGTCAGCTAAAACTTTAAAGTAAAACATGTAATATTATAGATCTATTGTTAGAGAATTTCACAAGGATTCCAAAAGTCCTCATTTGCTATTTTACGTTTTTTCCTATGAATTACTATGAATTTCCAAAGATTCAGCAAATTTACTTTAAATAGGTCCTTATTGGCACTATTCATCTGAGTCATTGACTTTGATTAGAACCCCGACTTTCGTCAATTTTTCTAGGAGGTCCCTGACGGGATTTTGAACAGGGGAGGTCGTCGGCTCATGAATCCGGCTAGGAGGCTTAACGGTGGCATTTGAAGTGGAGGAGGAGCACCAGGGTGTCTCCCGCGCTATTGATGGTCTTGGATGGCAGACACTTCTTACAATGGTGGACCAAGCCATGAGCATCTGGCTCATCAGCCCCACTTGCGGCGGCGGCTATATCTGGAGGTTTAGCGTGGTTTTTGAGACGGCGATCATGAGCACTAAATAGGAGATGGTGGAGAAGTTTTGGTGCTCGTGGGGAGTGAAAAGGGAAAATGGGATCAGGCTGCTCTAGCGAAGCTCTGATCGGCCATCAATGGCGAATCTCTTTAGCGAGAGGCGAGGGAGGGCCTTCGCGAGCGATGGGGGGCGTTCAGCGTCAGGGCAACTCAGCGTCCACAAAACGCGGGAGGAGGCAAAACTTTTGGCTTATCAATAATGATACGGCTCGCATGGCTGCCACGCCACACCACCAGCGTGTCGGCATTTTGACGCCAGTGGCGGCCACATCCGCCTAGCGTCTTGGAAGCCGTTTTTGGGCTGGTTCGGTTGGGAATTTGATGGTGGGCCTTTAACGAAGTTTGATCTCCATCCGATGTTCTACAAATTTCGTTAAAGGTTCATAGCCATTAGAGCAAAGGATTAAGAGATAATTAGGCCCTAATTTGACACATCAATGAATTAATGTCGATCAAAGTAAAGCTTCACTTTTGTTCATTTTGGGAAGTCAAACTTGGTCCAATTGATCCCATCTTTGGGTATCCTCTTCTCCAAATAATTATCTCCATACTTTATTTTGCAACCCAAACATGTTTCTTACAAAATTTTGGAGAACGCGGAATGTCATCGTCGATGCTCAAGATTTCAGACTTAGGTCTACAAACATTGCAAATGTTTCGATCTTGTAACCTCTGTTTGCATCATCTACAAACTGAACTAGGGCATACTCCAAAAAAAAAATATGTTGTACTCAAAACAAAGAACAACTTTTATTAAAGGATCAAGGTCTGGATCAGCTCGGTTTGCAAGATATAAAGCTCCAAAATAGGGTACCCAAGGCAGTTCAAACTCAGTTAGGACTTAGCCAAATTCCTGGGCTCCAAAATAACACCATAACCGAAATCTTGTGAGTTCTATTTGACTAGGTTAGAGGCCAAACTAACTCTTGACCATTAAACAAAGTTTGTTCTACACAAGATGAACTACAACTTTTGTTAAAGGTGAAACCTCATAACTGGTACAGAACCTACTGTTTCTACTTTGACCAAAATAGGATCACGATGAAGCTTAAATTATCCTTTTTGATCCATTGGAGCATTTTCCGCCACCGCTCAACATGAACCCTTCATAACATTTGTTCATGAGTGCAAGTAGAGTTGTTTGAGCAAGGTACCAAAGTTTGGTTGACTTCATAGGTTTCCATCCACTTGATAAAGCAATTCATGCAAAGATATGACTTATCATTTCATGTGACTTTTTGATTCCAAACTTCATGAAACTTTTCCACGGGTCTAGATGGATGCATGTGGATGTAATGTACATGGAATAAGCATGTTTAACATTACTCTTGCATAATCTTAACAAGGGTCCATATGTAAGCAATTGTGCGTGGCCCAAGTTTAAGTTGGAGCTCCATCATGTAGATTTGATCTTGACACCTTGATTACCACTTGACATGTCATGTTTGAGCTCAAACCTATTGCTTAACTGGTGATAAACACCTGGGGTGTTACACTGGCAATGTTGAATCGCTTCTTCATGAACGTCGATGTGCTCGTGCACGTCGGAACCATCGTAAGCCTAGCGAAGTTTGCACTGCAGCCAGCCATGCAGTGTCCAACTGCTAATTTGTACAAATTGTTGTTAGAAAGTTATTGATTGGAGACTGCTCCGCATCTGATTATGTGTTTTCATATCGATTATTATTAATCTGAAGTTATGAAGTTTCAAGCATTTGAGTAATTGGTTCAGTATAGGCACGACCTGAACAAATTTTGCTACTAAGTAGTGTCTGACACTATTCGTTATTTGACCATAGCAGAAACATCAATCAATCAGAAGAACCGGTTTGTCGTGATTAAGTGATCAGCTTGCTGCCGAGTACTTATGACAACAGAGAAACAATGTAATAATATTTATGCGTGGTCTGCTAAGTGTATTATCTATTTACTAATGCACCTTGGTTTCTATATTTGAGCTATCATATGCGGCGTGCAATCCTAGCTTAAGTTTCTGCCTACCGTTTGTTTCCGTCTATTTTCCGATCGTATTTACCTGTTTTCGTATTTCCATTTATCCCGCTACCGTTTTCGTTCCCGGCTGTCCGGCTCCCGCTCCCGTTTCCGTTAAAAAAAATGAAAACAAAAACGGTAGAGCTATTTTTATATTCGTTTCCTTCCGTTTTCATCTATAGTTGCAAGCGTATGTTTCTAAATGTTTTATCTGTTTCGGACATAGTCTTTCTCTTTTTCTTATAGAAAAAGAAAAGAAAGCTAAATCACATATACTACATTATACATTGTCAAAATCTAAGAAGAAGAAACCGTACATATTGCATCGGTCAAAACCAAATAAACACTGCTATTTTCTCCTCATATAAAGAACAGGTTCATCAAGAAATAATCAAATCAGCAATAACACATCTCCATTTGTTCGAGTGATCACAAGAAGCAACGATCGACCAACAAACATGAAAGCAACAATCCAAACACCCCCACCAAAGTTCAAACCAGGCACCACCGCCACTCGGCCTTCCCTCCAAAAATTCAAATCAGCTTGCCCGGGGGCTGTCCATGACGGTCTCGAACGCCCCCACCAGCGCCTTCACCTTGCTCTTCCGCTTCTCCATCAGCTTGCTCTTGGCCTCCTCGATCACGTCGTTGCTCCGCGCCACCTCCTTCTTCTTGGGCTGCTCCTCCTCCGACCGCTTCTCCATGGCCGTCTTCACCTTGCGCCCCTTGAACGCCAGCGCCGACGACGCCGTCGTCCCCTCGGGGATCGACGCCTGCTTCGATGGCACGCTCTTCTTCGCCGCGCCCGCCGGCGTCGTCGGCGCTGACGTGCTCTGCTGCTGAGTCTCCATCACCTCCTTCCCCTTGCTGATGGCTTCTGCCACCGGCGTCACGGGCTCCGAAGCGCTCACTTGTTTAGGCACTGCCTCCACATCGTCGTCGTCGTCGTCGTCGTTGGCCGCTTCTCTCAGTGGCGTCGTCGGAGCTGACGCGCTCGATCCGGCAGCCGCTGTTGGCTCGTGGGCCACCTCTTCCTCGTGCTTCTGCAAAGGCGCGGGATCAGCTGCTTCCTTTGGTTCTTCAGAGATCACGCTCGATTCCTCCTTGGGTTCTTCAGAGATCACGCCGGTTTCTTGTTTTGGTTCCTCAGAGATCGCGTTCGTCTCAAAGTTCTCAGTCACCTCAGCTTGCTGGCTCTCCTCGACGACCTTCCCTTCCACCGTCCTGGTTGCCATTGCCAGCTCGTCTTCTCCCTCAGGCGTTGGCGCCTCCTTCGCCGCGGCTTCTTCTACAACGACGGCAGGCGAGCCATCGTCCGTGTGCTTCTGGGCCTCCGTTTTTGTTTGCACAGCCTCGCTGCTCTGCGGCGTGTCTTCTTGCAGCTCCGGCTTCTCCGCCTTCACCTGCTCAGCCTCCACCTGTATGATCTTCTCCTCCACAACGACGTCCTCCTCCTCCGCTTTTCCCATCGGCTGTCCTGCGGCGACCTGCTCCTCTTGATACCTCACCGCCACCGTCGTGATGTCAGTACCGACAGCCTCCTGCGCCGTCGCGACGTCCTGCTCATTCTGGTCAGCAGCTTCGGACTCCAACAGGACAGGCTCCTCTGCTTCTGCTTCCACGGGAGTCACGACAGGCGACGGCTCGGCGGGCGTCTCCGGCTGCTGGTGCTGCTCCTCGACGGGCTGTGCTCTCGCCGTCTGGCCTTTGGCCCTCGCGGCGGAAGCACCAGCGCCGCCCTTGCTGCCGGACGCCGAGGCCGCCGCCGCCGCCTCCTTGCTCTTCTTGCTGCGGGACCTGCTGCTGGCCTTGAACGCGTTGGACGCCCTCTGCATCAGCTGCCTCGGCGACACCGCGCCCCATCGCGACGTGGAGGTCGACGCCGGCGCCGGCGCTTTGGCCTTGGCCTTATCCTTGGTAGTGATCGGCCGCTGCGCGCCCACAGGCTGCGCCGGGGCCTTGTCCTTCTTGGGCGTGATCGGCCGCCTCGCCGTGGCGGCGGTGCCCTTGGAGCCGCCGGCGGCTGCGGAGGTGGAGGAGGAGTGGGAGGGCGACGCCAGCGAGGAAGTCGACGAGGAGCTGTGCATCGACGAGCTCACGGTGGGACGGAGGAAGGACGGCATCGGCTTGTCGGCCGCCGCCGCCGCGGAGGACGGGCGCGACGGGGGCCTGCCGGTCCCGGACCCGGTCCCGCTCTTGCTTCTTGGGCGCGCGCCGTCGCTCGACCGCAGCGACGGCCGCGTGGCCATGGGCGGCTTCCGCTGCATCGCAACACAGAGCAGAGAGATTTGTCAATTGTTTTGCCGGTACAAGAAGTGCAAGGCAGAATGAGACGTGATTTGGGAGGTTTGTATTTTTCTCATCTCCGATTTGTATGTGGTTGACCTTGAAATGTTTAGACAACATGCATGCCATGTTTGCATTTTTGTGTATTCTCTCTTCTCTGTTGTCTGTGACAGACACGAGACACTCCTGGCACGTTGTAATGACAATTAATGTTTTCTCTTTTTTATCCAAAAAGAAATGTTTTGATTGCATTCCATTTGTCCTACAACACGGTCAAGACATTCCACTCCAATACAAAGATTTCTTTTTACTAATTCATTTTTAAGAACAAAAAAATATTTAGGCCCCCCTTCACACGAATTATACAGGAATTTTATAAAAATCAGTTTATTTTCACATAAAAAACCTCCTACGCTCGAAAGAGGGCCTTATACGAATATAAAATATGCATGGGATTCTTTCAGTTATGCCAAGAAAAATAAAACCTAAACGGAGAGGAAAGAAATCGATGAATCTAATCAAAAGCTAGGCACCCAAATCACAAAGCATGTGGCAACGCATCGAATTCGCTCGTCTAGGCGGATAGTTCCATGGCAAATAGGCGAGCGAATTTCCCTGGAAGAAGAGCAAAGGACGACAGCAACGTACCTGGAACCTAATGCACTCAATTCATGGTTGCTTTCTCAACCACAGGAACAATGAATAGGAATAGTATAACATGGTCTTGTTTGCGTGTCTCAAAACCAAGAGGGGTGGAGAAACCGTCGTACCTTCGTAAGCAGGAAATGGCCAGGAATGGCGTGTTGTGGCGCAGTGGAGAGGGAGGAGAAGAAGGGGAGAAGACGAAGAAGGCAGCAGCAAGATGAGAAAAAGCCGGGCAACAGAAGAGCCCCATGTTTGCAAACAGAACCTGTCAAATAGTTGGCACTTGGCACTTGGGATGGCAGCTGTGAGGGCCGGTTACTAGTTGACACCTGGTGGAGGATCCATCTGTCATGGGCGTCTCTCGCTCTCCGTTTGGCTAATTCTACACCGGCCAGACCTTTTCATGGTTGGTCCAAAATTAGCTAAAATAAATTAATACAGCAAGACATGTAATAATGGTTATTAATATATGTGGGATAATGAACTGGTAAAATAGGAAACCTGGAAAAACATTATTGGTTTACCTATCTGTATCCTTGTTAGTTCTGATGTTTCAAACTGTCGGTGTTTTGTTCACCGACTAGTAAATTTATACGATTGTCGCGTTGCGCTAGAAAAACGATGGTAGCATCCAAAAGACACAAAGAATTATACTGGTTCAGGTCGGAGCCCTACGCCCAGTCTTAGAGATGATCGAGTGCGTGTTTCTCGCTTGAATGCTCTGAAGTTCTTACAATGGGGGTGCAAGAATGGTGGAAGAGTTAGGAAAGTGGAGCTAGACCTAGGAGATGGACTGCCCGAATGAAGGTTTCGGGAGTCCGATGCCTTGGAAGGGTGTCCTGGCTGCCCTTATATATAGTCCGATGCCAGGTCACATACAGAGAAGGAGGTTCTCCCGACCGAGGGGTCTTGAGCCCGAGGGAGGGAACCTAGCTAACTTGGCTTGCAAGAAACGCCATCTTGACTTGGTGTAGCGCACGTCTGAGCGTGGTTGTCGTCATGGTCTTGTGCCCACGTCTCGGCATGGGGTGGCGTGGTGCTACTGTGCCGGTTGTGGCGGCACTGTAGGCATGGTGATGATTTACCAGCCGTCCTGTGCGACGTGGTCTCGCCATGGCCTTTGTCATCGCCTCCTAATCTCCCGGGGACGTCGTACCGGAGTTGGTAGCCGCCCCCAGGTCGTTGGTCGTCTTGCTGCTTACGGGGCTGGTGGCCACGATCCCGAGCCCCGGGGTCGTGGCCTTCGTTGGCTTGGATGGCCTCAAAGTCAATGCCGTGGCGGGTGGAGTCGTGCATCCGTCTCGTCGGGCCGTATTTGGACGGTGGGTCATCGTACTGGCCGCCACTGCTTAGTGGAGTTGTCTTGTCTTTGCTGCATGGCGCAGGGATGGCGTCTGACCGGGCTGAGGGGGCTGCTGTCCCCTCGGTCCTTGCGGGGGTCAGTGCGGCGTGCCTGCTCTGGTCTGGCAGAGTCCGATCTCTCCCCGTTCCTCCCAGGGGTCGGGACGGGGGAGAGGTCGTGTGGTGCCACGCGGCGTATGATGAAGGCAGAGAGGAGAGGTCACGGCCAACCCCTTCCTTAGTGTCTGGCCCAGGTCCACATAGCTTAGCTGGGCCTCGGTCGCTCGGGCTTATACCAGCTCATGTACCGTGGGCTGTCCGAGCGGCTGACTAATCGGTGTCTTGAGATACCTGGGGTATCATAACCCCAACACAAACATATTTATTTCTTTCAAAAATTAAAAACGCGTGCTTTCTTGCCTACAACAAATACATGCCATTTGAGTTGTAGCCCAATTTGATGATCCAAGGATCAAGATAGCAGGAAAATTTTTATGAGCAAAGACCAATTTGTGGGATAATAAACTGGTAAAATAGGTAACCTGGAAATCATTATTAGTTACCCATTTGTATCCTTATTACTAGTCTGATGTTTCATGCATATTTATTTCTTTGATTGAAAAATTGCTAAAAAATGCGTGCTTTCTAGACAACATCAAATACATGACATTGGAGTTGAGGCCAGATTTGATGATCCAAGTATCAAGTTAGCAGGAAATTTTGATGAGCAAGGACCAACCTGTTTATAGCATTATAAGTTTCCAAATTCAGGTTTGCATGCAAAGTATTGGGTCCTATGGCGATGGGGATTCAATTAGTAGGCGTCATTTGGATGCAAAGTATTTTTTGGATGGTTTCAGAAAAATACTATAGCTTTGCAAATACTTTGGTTTTGTAGCACTATGAAATATTTGGTTTCAGTGGCGGATCTAGAAATAGGTTAAGAGGAGGGCTAAATTATAGAACGCTAGAAATTTTACTAGACATACACCCTTTGGAATGCTAAAATCTTGCTAAAAATCTTAATTGCATGACTATGTTTTTTTTTACTGAAGGTTTTATCCAGATATTTGATTTGATTTTTCCATTCAGACTTAAGAGTTTCTCCCTTAGAATTTGGCCCGCGAGGGGGCTGCAGCCCCCTGTCCATCTGCCCCTGATTTGGGTGCAAGAAGTTTGTAGTGTTGAAAACCATAGTATCACTAAAACCCTACTTCCCCTGTCCTAAATAAATCAGTTTGTAAAGTTATCATAAACTAAACCTTTTTATGACCAAAAGAAAAGAGCAGAAATGTTTATGACACCAAATGAGCATATTATAAAAATATTTTATGTTGTGCCTAACGATACTAATTTGATTTCATCAATCTTGGTTCTCTTTTCTATAAATGCAGTTGAACTTAAAAAAAATGTTTGGCTTAAGATATCCCCAAGAATTTGATTTATCCAGGGACAGATGATTAGTGTTTTTAAAATTTCATAGGTCTCCAGCATACAAACATGGTGTAAGCCCTCTTCAACAGTTTTCCCAGGTTCTCGGCTCAACATGGGCCGTTTGGCCCGGTATCGTCGCGCGCACTCGCTGCGGTGGGCGGCTGTCTCTCTCGACTGGGCTTTTTGGCAGGCCGCCCAAAACCGCACGATTCCAGTTTCATCAGGAAGGAAAGAAGACCAGTCCGGGAGGGGCAGCACGCGTCCGCACGAGCAGTCGTTGACTCCCCACCCAATCATGCACGCACGGTGTTCGGCGACGCGGCGCGATCCGCCGGTCCCCGTACCCGCAAGCTGTGTACGCCTGCTTTTGATCTGGCAGGGAGGACGCAGGCAAGAGGCAGCCGGCACGCACTACTGGACTCCAGCGGGTTGGGCCGTGGCTACCCACCGGCAAGTACGACGACTCCATCAAGCACCGCGCATGCACCAGCTGATGACTCATCATCCATCCACCCTGCATTCATGCTCGTCTAGTGGCCTCGCCTCGATCAACCTCTGTGCCATTGCCATCTCCCTCCTCCCTTATCTTCACCTTATCAGAGTTCAGAGAGGTTTTGCAACTGCCCATCATCATGCACGGCATGTCAAAAACCACCTGAAATTTTGCTGAAACTTGGAGAACCGGTCGGAGTGGATGTCGAACCGAAAGATCAACATAATGCAAGGCTGTAGCATAGCTTTCCTGGCAGGGAAGGAAGGATCGGACATCGGAGGGCGGGGGGGTCCAATGCGGCCAATTCCTTGCAAAAGCTGGTAGTGTGCAGCTGGTTCTTCTGTTTGAGAAGAGAAGCGAAGCGAAGCAATCATGGCCAAACGCAACGGACCAAGCACTAGATGCCCCCGCCTTTCGCCAAAGCAAAGCACAGGTGCGCTACGCAGCCAAAAGGGGCAAAAGGCCACAGGATATGACAGAGACGGGAGGCAAGGCGACAGGAGGCTTTCTTTGGCGCCGCAGGAGGATTTCGCAGAATTCGAACAAAATCTCCAGTCACACATGCACGCCCTAGATTAATTAGGGCACATCACAAAATTAAAGAAGATGCTATAGTTCAATGTTAAGATCAAGCATGTTGATTCGAGAAAAAAAAAATCAAGGATGTTGCAGCGCCACTGACTATAGGGCCTGTTCGCTTGAACTTATCAGCTAGAATCTACAGTGTTTTTCTCTTACAATAAAATATCTTCCGTCAGCTTTAACACGAGCCGAACATATTTATTTTTTATTTAACACGTACTGTACATCCGAATAAACGCTGCAAGAGAACAAACAAGTGCACGCGCGTACAGCAGAGACGCATGGTGGAGCTCCCCCGTTTGGCGCCGTCCGTTACTACAAAATGGATGCACTTTTGTCAGGCTGTATGTTTCTTTGCTTGTTGTTTGTTACTATACTATAGATAATTGTCGAGAATTAAGAACAGGTGCCGTTGCTGATTTGGTCGTCAGGCACCTTTCCCGGTATTGTGCATGAATTAACTACTCC